TGGTTTGAATTATCTAATGTATTTACATATGGAGATAATTAATGTTAGATGATTGGCGAAACCGATTTATAAGGCCAGAGTTGGTAATGGCGAACTTACCATGAACATAAAGAAAGGCCCAGTTAAGAGTATCCGTGTAACACATTATTAATTAATTTTTTTTCTCTATAATATCTAGTGACGGGTTGAACAAGCCGTGCGCCTGATGTAAGCTACATGCGTGTCCATAACGTTTCAGTGCCACACAGCTCTTTAAGTTGCAAAGATCTGAGGTGCACTGTCACTGCACCCATCACCCTGAGACATAAGTTGATAAGTCCCATGTGCCTGTAATTTCACCAGCAACCTTGCCTTTTGAAACCGGAACACAGTTGTAGCGGGCTGTATCAATGGGTTAAAGGGTGGGTGCTAACAATGAGTCAGGAAGGCCAAGCAAATGTACTTACAGTTTATTAATTCTTATTACAAAACACATGTAGCTATCAAAGCAAAAAACAGCAAAGCAAGAAAAGGCACCAAAAACTAAAACTGACTATAAAATATATACAAAAGAGATTTGTAGCTGTTAATTTGTCATCAAGGGATCAAACTAATTTTTCCAAACTTTCCCAAAATACTTTATATATAAATATTTCTTTATGAGACCAAATGGCAGGATGAACATGTTGGAAAATCTTTCTGCTGGCACACCTTCTATGTGGTTGTATGTGGTTGCTTTGAATTTTGATTTAAGTTTTTAGTGTTCTTTGTCACAACAACTTAAGCATCAGTACATTGTTTTGTAATGATACCTTGTGTTAATTTTATTTTACGGGACAGAAAAGACTCTGGTCTTTACAGAACATTTTGTACACCTGGTGGTCAGCAATACGCATATCCATAGCAGCTACAGCGCCAATCAGGGCTATAAATCACAAAGATGAGAGGTACGCTACCAGCCCGGTCATCATCCTGAGACATTATTTGACAAGTACCATGTGCCTGTAATTTCATCAGCACCCTTACCATATGGTGGCAATACTCCCCTGTAGCTATAGGAATAGGTAAATATGTAATTAGGATATGTAGAAATAATACTTACTTGGTCAATTGTTTGGTGGCTTAATTCAGTTGTTGCGAATATCAGCATCCGCATCCAGCAATGCTGATAATCATTGCGGACGTTTGAGTCGTGACATGACCTAAAAGGCCAGGTGGACCGCGCGGAATCCGCGTTTTCGCCGCGCAAGCGACCGCGTGCATCTAAATGTCATGACAAAATATGCTCTATTCATTTTTCTTTTACGTTTTAACTTAAATGAGCGTCCCGGACACGCGGGCGTGTCGGCTTGAATTTGCCGCAGCGATCGCGCGGTTGTATTATTCAGAGGAATTTAAATGTTGTTGTCTAGTAAATAGAATTCAGGTTCTCCACTAATGTACATGAAGGCGTGGTAACTGGGCGGCTGCCGCGCGAAATCTTTCTCCTCGTGTAACTGGACGCTTAGGCGGATGTAGTTAAACAAAAAAGATCCAATCCACATCCAGTCACTTTTGAGATGTGGCAGTTCTCAGTTCTTACTCTTGTTTTATTTTCAAAACTTATAAACTCCAGAGATATTTATTTATGTTTATATGTTGGATTTTTTTTTTGCTGATCTAAGAGATTAGACTTTAGGAACCTTTTGGATGTAACTCATTTTTTGATAATTTTGTGGATTGGATCTTTTTTGCTTAACTACCTCCAATTAATTCTTTATTTTTGATTAGTTTTATATAAATTCACTAAGCCCTGATATCAGTCTATATCTATATTTAAATAGGAAGTTGATAAGACTGACTAGAACACATAAATCGTTGTAAATAAATAAATTGTAACTTATTAATGGAAATATAAACAACTATGTGCAAATGTGATAAGGTACAGTTTCGAACAAATGTCTCTAGCTGTGGCCTGGTGGGGATTATGTCAATTAATATACTCCCAACTGCTAGGCATGGGCCTTAAGAGTGTTGAATGAGACATAAGTTGAAAGGGTGGGCAAACATTTTTCATTAGGTTGGCACCTAAAAACAAGAAATTTCACATTGGACTCAATCGCGATTACGCGATAACTCCGTCATTTGTGAACTGATTTCGTTGATTCTTTTTTGTTGGAAAGAAGTAGTGTTGGTCCCTTTTAAATTTAAACTGCCTCCGTGGCCGAACGGTTACCATACCGGACTGCCACGCAGAGGTCCCAGGTTCGATTCCCGGGCCGGGAGAAATATTTGTATGGCCTACATTTCTTTCTCTCGTGAGTTTGGGTGTAATTTGTGATTGTCTATGTGTGTGTCCATGGCACCTGCGACGCAGGGTTTCCCTAGTGCGGGGCTATGTTGAGTGTGTGCGTTATTTATTTATTTATTTTTATTTATTTAAAGAAAATATTCCACCTCTAAGGGTGGCAAACTAGGGGATGAGTCCGGTTTCGCTCACTTTCCTGTAACCTCTTGTTAACTTTTTAGTTTCAGTTTGTTTTTTTTTTTTCTATAATATCAAATGACGGTACGAACAAGTCGTGATCCTGATGATACGCTACACGCTTGTCCAGAACAGTTGCAGTGCCACTCAGAGATTTAAATCACTAAGATCTGAGGGTGATTCTATTACGCCCGTCAACCTGAGACACAAGTTTGGATACCACTTTCCACTTAACATCAGGTGGAGTGGAGTCATTTGCCTGTCATGTATAAAAAAAAAAAAATAAAAAAAAAGTTGACAAGTCCCATGTGCCTGTAATTCCACTCACCCACCCACTCACTCATCCACTCATCCGCTCACTCACCCACTCACTCACCCATATGCCCTATAAATTTCTCATAATTGTCAGTTTTAATTGTTAATCAAAAACATTGAAAAGATTGAATTATTATTAAAATTGATTAATTGTTAATTGTACATATACGCGATTAACGATTGATTAATTGTTAGTTGCGAGAATCTCTAATTGCCAGAACAATTAAATTTTGCCCAACACTGCTTCAAATCGACCAGTTAACTTGATCTTTGCTATAATGGACGAAAATTGCAAAATTACATATTTAATTACCGATGAAATTTGATTCCGTTTGTTTTGTAATTAGATGTTTTGCTGTTTTTCCCACACCACCGAAAGGAACAGCCCCCCATTATTAGAGATGGTATCTTTATTACAATAAATACAGAATATTTTTGGAATATACGGAGATGTACACACAGATCAGTTGTTGGCGCTGTACTATTTCAGATTTATAATTTGTAATTTTAATGCAAACGAGAATTGATATTTATAAGTGATGTATCACTGATGAATTACCAGGAATGTATAGCCCTTATTTCGTCTCAATTTCTGGTGGAAACATGGAAATTAATTAATGTGCATATCGTCGGGGATAGTGGAATATACGGATAATACGGGTAACTAGCATTTGATTATGGGTCTCCGCGTAAATGTCGTGGCAACCAAACTAACATGGGATTAAGGGAATCTATTGTTATCAGTCCGTAGAGAACATAAATTAATGATTACTGTGGAAAAATTACAATCGTAGTCATTGAAATAACAAAGTAATAACCAATGATCGAAAAAAGGTGTTCCACGTATATATAGATACATGTATAAATATAGCTCCAAGCAGTGACATAGTTGTTATTAAAACTACCAATTATTGACTACCTTTTTCGAGTTCCGGATTTCCGGAAATGGTTTTACTACGTTGTAGAATAAAACTACTGAGCTAGGAAGCCGAAGTTGGACTTTAAAGTAATCTTAACGGTGCCATATAAAAATGCAGTAGATAACTGATCTTTTACCAAAACAGAGAATAAAAAATTAATGAGAATAGACCTTTCAGCCCCTCCCTAGCTTTAATAATAATAATAACGCTCACACTCAACATAGCCCCGCACTAGGGAAACCCTGTGTCGCGGGTGCCATGGACACACACATAGACAACCACAAATTACACCTAAACTCACGAGAGAAATAAATGTAGGCCATACAAATATTTCTCCCGGCCCGGGGATCGAACCTGGGACCTCTGCGTGGCAGTCCGGCATGGTAACCGTTCGGCCACGGAGGCAGTTTTAACTGCATATTGACGGTAACATTGACGGAACGGCGATATTTGCTATTATAGTCCATTTCAATAGGGATGAGTTCTATGACGCTTCTAATTTTTACGTTGCACACATACTATTTATAACTAATTTGTCAACCACGTTACAAAAATAAATAGTAAATTTGTTATAATGTACCAAAATCAAGCAATATTTGTTGTAGATGTAGTTTTAAGTAAAAACTGTGGTGTATTATGTAGATAGAAAATATAATTTAATATAAAAATAAATTACCCCAACTGCTTGATGCGTAAAACGGATTGTTTGTCCATAGAGATTTTCACCATATAAGCGATAAATCGAATAGGCTTTTGTATAGCTCGCGTCAATACGAGGCATTTACATGCCTCGTTAGCGGGTTTTATTTTGTTTTTAGCTTTTGCGTGATCTTTTTGGAGTAATCGTTCAAATTCCGTTTTGTGGCTGTTGATTTTATGCTTTATTGTTGACTTTTTGTTTGGTTGTGTAGTTTTTAGGGATAGACACAACATAAATTATCTTAATGTGTAAAACGAAATATTTATCCATAGATATTTACGCCATTACTTTGTTCATTAGTTGTTCTTAAATTATTTTCTATAAATCGATTGCCTCTTCATTACAAATTATCTCGATAAGATATTTAACCCGCCATTGATCGCGTGGGGCGAATAAACGCCCGTAAAAAATTAAAATCTTTAATATTTAAAATACTATTTTTTTTACGATTTTGATTTTCTAGCTACCTTCCTAAAATATTCAAATACACAATTTTTACGCGCCGTCATTCAGTTCGCGCGCAGCGCTCACGAGTTACGGACGTGTCGTTCGCGCGCGGGCGTCCATTGACCCCACGCGACCAACGACGTAATTAAAAAGTATTGGTTCTTTATACATAAAAATGAATTCGGCACAAGAGGAACGTATTGCAAGATGGTTGCAAGAAGAAACAGATGAAGAGGTGATTGGTGGGGATGCGGATGAGGATGAGGGTGAGGAGACAGTGCCTCAAATAAGTGAGCACGAGACGGATACCGAGGAGGATGGTGATTCTGACTCTGAAACTGTTGCGGAAGATCAAAACATGACTTCAGATGGTGAGGACGACATTCCCGTGTCCTATTTTCAATCGTCGGCGTGTTATGTGGTCAAAAGAAAATTGAGAAATGGTAGAATAGAAACAGTTTACAGATGGAAGAAACAACCAACACCACCTACATGTCGTACACGCCGTCAAAACATTGTAACTCATTTGCCAGGACCTAAAAACATATGTAGCGGAGTTGATACTGCAGAAAAGGCTTGGAAATTACTGTTTTCAAATGAATGGTTACAAAAGATTGTAAATTACACCAATCTGAAAATCCAATCTCAGAAACAAAATTATCAGAGAGATCGAGATACCGCTGAAACAAATATGATCGAAATAAGAGCATTGATAGGGTTATTATATCTGATTGGTCTATATAAATCATCACATGTGCATGTTGATGATATTTTCAGCACTGATGGCACAGGATTGGACATTTGTAGAGCAGTGATGTCAGTCCAAAGATTCAAGTTTCTCATGCGGCATCTGAGATTCGACGACTTGAATACGCGTGATGAACGAAAGGCTGTTGATAAACTGGCACCTATAAGAGAATTGATAGAAGAGTTTGTCCAGGCATCCCAACAATGTTATTCAGTCGGCGAGTATGTAACTCTAGATGAAATGCTCGATCCTTTCAGAGGGAAATGTAGTTTTAGGCAATATATGCCCAATAAACCCGCAAAGTATGGGATAAAAATACAAGCGCTAGTGGATGCTCGTTTATTCTACACCATAAATTTGGAGGTTTATGTGGGAGTTCAACCAGCAGGGCCGTATGCTGTGGATAACTCTACAACCGCCGTCACAAAGCGAATGATACAACCAATATCTGGCACTGGTCGCAACGTTACCATGGACAATTGGTACACAAGTGTACCGTTGGCTGAAGATTTGTTGACACAGCACAACTTGACTGTTGTTGGTACAATAAAAAAAAACAAACCCGAAATACCTGATGACTTCAAGAAAAAGGGCCGCGAAGTTTCCTCATCTTTATTTGGATTTGGCAAGAACCACAGTACGCTTGTGTCATATTGTCCCAAAAAGAATAAAGTAGTTCTGCTACTTTCGACCATGCACGATGATGCTTCAGTAGATGAAGGAACCCCGAAAAGATTGCCAGAAATTATATCCTTTTATAATTCGACAAAAGGGGGCGTTGATGTTGTGGATCGCCTAAAACTGAATTACTCTGTAGCACGCACTTGTTACAGATGGCCATTGCGTCTATTTTTCAGTTTACTCGATATTGGAGTTGTAAACGCTCATGTAATCTTTGATGGCGTCAACCCTTCTTCTAACACCTCGCGCAGAAATTTTATAAAATCTTTGGCGTTTTCATTATTTGAAACTCAACTGAAAAGCCGAAGTACAATGAAAAACCTACCTCGTGAGCTGTCTATCACAATATCACGCTTTGTACGATCTCCACTACAAGAACACGAAGAAAATGAAGAAACTGAACCAAACAAACGTCGCTGTGTTCACTGTCCTCGAAAGATGGACAGAAAATATTTTACAATCTGCTATAAATGCAAAAAAAATGTGTGCCCAAGGCACTGCAAAAGCATTTGCCATGATTGTGCCTGCGCGTAATTGTAACTTTTTACTTTGATATTTTTTTATTTTTTTTTATGAATACTTATAATTTTTAAGATCTCATATTGTTGATTAGTTAACAAAGATTTAATTTAGTTAAAAAAAATGTTTAAGTTATGTTTTTTTTATGTTTAAATAATAATAATTCGAGGCTGCCATAAAAGTTGCTCAAAAGTTCCTATCTAGTTTATATGATCTCAAAGTGAAAAATAAATATTTTATATGCTATTATTTGTGTTATTTTATCTCTCTACACTCCAAATTAACAATTAAACTGTATTTGACATGTATTCATTTCTGAATTTCTTTGTAAACCTCATTTAATTTTGGGGATACCGGTTGACCCCAGGTGACCAACCCAGTTACAAAACTAAAGCGCGACCTACGGCGGGTTAAATCGAGTTTTTTTATGCAACTTTACATCACTACGTCTCCAGAAACTTCAAATTTCAAACATCACCGGAATCATCCCTATTGAAATAGACTATAGAAGTTAAGAAAAAAATTTTTAAGTACTATTCGTTTAGACGTCCATCTCTAGTACAAATTATATTTTAAGCTTTAATTGGTTGAAAAAAAAACGAGGTTTTCAAATTTAGCCGACGCGTTGCACCGACAGTACTTTTTAGAATTTCTGTTGTTTTTTTTTTGCAAACAGCTGGCAGTCAGCTGTTGTATATAGTCTACCTGTCCTTTATTTCTTTATTCTTGTTCTTGCCTTAAGCTCGCACGTGCACCTTTCTGAATGCAAAATGGACTTAACAGTTTTAAAGGATTATTATTTTTAATTTTAGCGTGGTAGAGTTTAATGTCGTTTGCGTTTGGACATGAAAAGGTTGGACATTTTGCACAAGAAAGAATTTCTTGGGGTTCCTCATCGAAAATGTTACAACGAAATCGTGTAATGTTGTGGTAACAATATAACTTTATTTCATAAGTAAGCAAATTACACTCCACACTCTTGGTGCTGCAATAAGGACACAACTGCAGAATGATAACCGTTCAGAAGATGTGTTCAAAGATTCTATGAAAGATACTTACTAATATCTACCAAATATTATTAAATATATACATAGTTATAGCTTTTGGTCATATATTTGTCATAGACGGCGCTACGGCTAAAAAGTCGTTGCAAACCAAATTATTATATAATAATTAAATTATATTGCGTGGCTTAAGTTGGCATAGCGTCTGGCACGGTTTGCTGGGAGACGTCGGTTCGAATCCGGTCGGATCGACGGATATTTTTTTTTAAGTGTTGAATCTTTGTATTAATAATTGTAACAAACTACTGAAGTAGTTTCACTAAAAGTAATTGAACATCGCTTCAATGCAAATTTAAGAGGGTACCTTTATATTGGTCCCAATTAAATTTGAAGAAACTATTCCAACTCTAAGGGTGACAAACTAGGGGGTGAATCCGGTTTCCGCGCACTTTCCGGTAACCGCTTTCAATAAAACTTGGCAAATAGATGGCATTCCACGTTCGAGGTCGGTTTTTTTTAAATAAAAAAGGTATGTACTCAACGATACTTTGATAAATCACTAGCTGATCAGAGATCCAAGTCTCCTAATTTTACATCATCTCAGTGGTGTGTCTATAGAGTGTCTTTGTCAGGGTTTTTGTACGTTCGGTACGGAATCTCTTATTAAATGAATAATTTCTAACTTAACCATGAAATGTTTAACAAAGAACCGACTCCGAAAAGGCTGTACTTGTACCTGCCGTTTTTTTTAAATCAGCTGATACACCACAAAGAACATAGACTCGTGTCGAAATCATATGATGTTTCTCACGCTTTCTTAACTTATTATTATTGTTACTACTGAGTTATTTTCATTTTTAACTGCCTCTGTGGCCGAACGGTTGCCATCCCGGACTGCCACGCAGAGGTCCCAGGTTCGATTCCCGGACCGGGAGAAATATTTGTATGGCCTACATTTATTGTGGTTGTGTAGCATTTATACGGCACTGAACGGTCCTCAAGTTATTGCAAAGATCTGAGGAGCACTACCACTGCGCCCGTCACCCTGAGTCATAAGTTGACAAGTCCCATGTGCCTGTAATTTCACCAGCACCCGTACCCTTTGAAACCGGAACATGTTGACATTACTGCTTGGCGGCAGAAATAGGTAAGGTAGTAGTACTACCCTTTTTTTTTTACAGGGTGAAATCTTTATGGATTAGCAGTACTACCCTGGACGAACTCTTTCACAAGGAGTTCTACTGCTACTAAAAAAAACACACTGTAGATATTACAGTACAGCAGCATTTCGTGGCAGTTTTCGTTATGCCGCCACGAAATGTTGGAATAATATTCCACCACCTTTTAGAAATTGTCACACTGTAAAATCTTTTAAATTTAGATATAAACAGTATCTTTTGAATCAACAGAAATTAACTTAGCCTGTGCTGTGTTGTATAGATGCTATATTGGCATTTACTTAGTGGGTTCCTATAATTTACTCTATTAATATTAACATTATCCTGCAATACCAATGAACATTTAATTTAATATTTTTACCATTAACTGTTAAGTATTTTATTACATCATATTGAGTTATATATTATATGATATATGAGTTATATATTATATATTATATGAGAGATATTATATGGTTCGGCGTGTCGTTGCAGCGCGTACTGATACTTCCTAACTGGCCGGTGTCTCCGGAAGACCAGCGTTGGGGTGTTGCAATATGCCTCGACTAATGCTGAGTAGACGTCGGTTTAGCGTTATACTTATATCTAGGCTTAAGAATGTAAAATTTGTAAATTGTAATATGGCATAATTATGACGCTAATAAACAATTTTTCTTTCTTTCTTTCTTTATTATGAATAAGAAGATTATAATTTTATTTTACATTAATTTTTAGTTGGCAAGGTTGGCCGTGGTGGCATAAACAAACAAAAATACACATTTTGTTGAATTTTTTTTATGATGACACTAAACGTTTAACCAAACTGTAAGTTTAGTTAACGATATGGTTATTTCGATATCTAGTCATTTTGCTACCAAGTTATTGTAAGTTATAGTCTTAGAGAGGTGGTCGTTTTGCGATCTAGTCCGAGCTCTCATGCCAAAAAAGTTTTGACGTTGGCTCCGCCCAAATTTGTGAAACAAATATATGACTGAAGTTCGCGTGACATGCGACAGGAGATGTTGAATTTTGCACATTAAAAGTACCAAATTCGTTTTAGCGGAATAATTCTAAAACCAAAGGGATAAATAAATAAATAAATAAAAAATCTGTGGTGACAGTTGTCGATCATGGATAAATATAATTAATTATCTAATTTTTGTCCTAATAACCAGTAGCATTTCGAGGATTAATCGAAAAAATGTGAAAATTAGAGGTCATTTCGTGATTTTTATCTATCGAGGAAAGTTTATTGTATTATGTTTCTGATTAGTGTCTATGCTTGAATATATCGTGTAGTTACTCATACAATATTTTATTTTTAACTTAAAAGTGGATATACCCCTCTAAAATCAAATCGAAGATTAGGAATTTTTCCTCTGCTCCCTCTTAAACTGATTAGGTTATTTTGAACTTATAGTCATTATGATACGAACCCCTATATACCTATTACCTCTAAATTGTAAACGATTTCCCGACTTAAGTCGTTATCTCTGAAGTTTACATTTCTTTATAGCATTCACAACACGACAGGTAATGTTTTTTTTAAAGACAGCTGGTACTCAGCTGTTCGATAACTGTAAAAAATATTAATCAATGAATTTGACCCTTATTGTTTTTAAGGTTAGGTTAAAATCGTTTTTGGTTTTATAACAAAGAATAAAGTGGACTTGTAGTTTTATTATCAGATATGAAAAAAAAATATATTTTTTAAATTGAGAGTTATAGGTGTAACTTCATTAAGTGTCGATACTACCTCCTCTCGAATATTTGTATGTTTTTTTTGTATATATGTTACACGGTATTTGTGGGTACCTTCATAGTGGTCCCATTTAATTTTGAAGAAAATCATCCACCTCTAAGGGTGGCTGTTCACGCATGAAGATTCAATTTTATAAATAGGGCCTAAATTTTATTATAAGGAGCAATTATTTTAATGGTTGAGTTTGCTATTCTCCAATTCAAGGCGTTTTTCTCTCTCAATATTTTTTGAGTAGTGAGAACCGATTTTTATTATTTCCTGTGTCAAGTCCCGTATAGTGGCGAACTAGGGGATGAATCCGGGTTTGCGCACTTTCCGGTGACCGATTTCAACAAAACTTGGCAAATAGATGTAATTCCACGTACTTTTGAGGTCGGTTTTTTGAGTAGTCTGTACTGAGATTATTGTATGTATGTTGCGCGGTTATTCCGGCACCTGTGAACCGATTTGATGAATCTGTTTATATCTATCCTTGGGATATTCTGTTGTTTTTATTAGTTATATTTTTGATGGCACCCCATATTTTTTTTGTTTTTGTTGTCTGCTTTATTTACTTGTTCACAATCATAGGCTCTTTTTATATTTTTTAATAAAGCATTACAAAAATTTCTATAGCGAGGATAATTCACTAGGATACCGACCAGTATGTAGTTACCATTCAAGTTATGAAGTAAAAACAGTGCACCGCGAACTAAGCTAACCTAGCTAACTAACCCAACAATCCCCCTAGCTATGTAATATTTAAAGGTACTCAATTCTGCTGTGTTTTTTTTGATGAATCTTTTTATGTATATATAATAAAAAAAGAGTATGTATATATTAGTTTTCAATACTGTGGTGATAAGCTTCACTATAGTTTTAACCGTAGAAGTTGCATTGCTTTAAATTGCAAATCTTATTCAAATTATCTTTATTTCATAGGTCAGCAAATTAGACTTCAAATCGTCATACAGTGATTTTCATGTAAGTTTTTTGTACTCAATTTTGGTGACAATTTCTTTTTATTGAAACATTTATAGAATATCATCATGAAGCATTATTTAATATTCGAGTGTGGTAAACTGAAATATTCTTTAATATTTCACGATGATATATTCGAGTAATTAAATACTCAAATTTGTCACCAAAATTGAGTACAAAAAACTTACCTGAAAATCACTGCATATTAATTAAAGTCTACTGCTCATTCGTAAGGCAGAGTCCCCTGGGAAGAATGAGCTAGAAAGTCTAGCAGTTGCTCTTTGTAAATATACATTTGAATACATTAACAAGATTTCGACTCATCCGAAGAACAAAGTCCGATGTGATTATATAGCGAAAAGAGAATAAGTACGTTACGAGAATAATTTCCTTATTCAAACTAAGGCCTACGTAAAGGTGTTTTGAGAATTTATATATCTTATTTTATTTCGGAAATATAAAATCGAGCAACAGTCGATCTGACATCCACAGCGAAGAAGAACGAACGAAATGTTCTATGTCCTGAGAACAAGTAGTCTTGCAAATAGATCTTTGTTCTACGGATGAGTCGATTTATTCAAACATTTTACATTGACACTACCTGCAAGAGCGAAACGGGTCACCACGGATTCCTGTCATCCAAGTACGCAAAAGCTGTAATACATAACCTTTAGTGTTAAGTTTTTGTTTCCCTAGAGTTTTAGACGTCGTAAATGGCAAATTTTCAATGTCAACCGGAATCTTGTCATAGAATGTTATACATTGCCCCTTAAATGAATTTGTAATTTTGTGAAGACGACTGTCAAGAATAGCTAGTTTATTTTTGACCGACTTCAAAAAAATAGGAGGAGGTTATACGTTCGGCTGTATGTATGTTTTCAGATATCGCCGTCAGTTGTGGACCGATTTTGAAAATTCTTTTTTTGTTTGAAAGGATGCACTCTCGTGGCGGTCCCATTGACACCAATTCAGAATCTGATGAGGGGATCCAAAGAAAATCCTCAAACTTTCTAGGCATGTCCGTGTATTCACCAATTTCTCTATCAATTGTGCACCAATTTTGAAAATTTCTTTGTTTGAAAGGGTATACTCTCGAGATGGCCCCTGTTGCTGTTCCGGGTTCGTTTCGGCTATCACAGATTACTAATATTTTCCGCAAATAAAAGTTTTTTTTATTTTTTTAAGTACAGTTTTAACGGCTTTGGCATAATGCCATACAGGCTATTCTTCATTTTCTTTTCTTCATTTTGGTTTCACTTTGTAAATTATGTTTCTGTAAATATGGCCGCCACAAAGAGGATAGGCAATTTGAGGCGGCGTGCTTGGATTGACTCGGGATTCCTTAAAACGGGCCGATACGGGTGTTCTAGTTTGAGATTCGTATAATTTCGCGTTTTAATCTTCGATTAAGGCACAATAGCACTATCCTATTCCACTTTAAACTAGATTTCACAAAATAATTGAAAGTCAAAATAAAAACGACACTTTTCCCTCCAAAAGGTCCAGAGCGAATCCCAAATAAAAGTTGATTTTTTACTTGACACAATACGTGTAATCAACAAACCACCGTCACCGTGACAACAAGAAAAAAGTAAATATAAAATGTACAAAGGAGTCCGTAACAGTCCCATTGTCATCAAGAAATTAGAATCTGATTAGGATGGAAACCGTAAAAACTAAGGAAACTTTTGAGAGTGGTTTTTTTTTAATGTAAAAGTTACATATCGAGTTCTTAGGTTTTCGCGATTGTTACACATGGGAAATGAAACTATTTTTCCGGATTTAAACCGACGTTTCGGGCCCTTTACAGGTCCCATGGTCATGAAGTTTGACAAACCCCAGGTCCTTGCAAAAGAAGCCCGTTATCTACATAAAACTATAACAAATAGAGTTCTTAGGTTTTCGCGATTGTTACACATAGGAAATGAAACTATTTTTCCGGATTTAAATCGCATATATTTGTTTTTTCAAACAAACCAACGTTTCAACCGTGACCATGGGACCTGTAAAGGGCCCGAAACGTCGGTTTGTTAGAAAAAACAAATATACGCGATTTAAATCCGAAAAAATAGTCATTTCCTATATACATAACAAATAGATAAAGAAAAGTAATTTGCATGCAAATGCAGTTTACTTTTGATAATCTAAAAAATCATAATAAACACAATGATGAAAATAAATGAGTGTCGCGGCGGACGCAAACGGGACTTACTCAGCGTTTATCTACGGGCAGGAAATTCTACCTGTAGCGCTGGTTTTCAGTAAGCCCGATTGAGTGAAGAACGGACTCGAGTGCAAACAATATCTACATACATAACTTGTGTGTGGAAGTATAATACATAATATAATGAAAGTTTGAATGTGCTAAAATAATGGCACTAAATAAATAATATGAATAAATAAACAAAGTGGCGTAAGTCTCAACTAATTAAATAAAATTATTAATAGATATTTACATGTATTATATCTTTGTTATTTATATATTATATTTTTGAAGCGCATGTAGCGCAAGCATCTGTTTGACAATTGTCAAAATCAAGACTCTGTATAATGTTGCTTTGGGTACATATATTATTTATTATTATAATGTTATATATGTAAGTTTATAATGTATGTGTAATAAGTATGTTTGTATTATTTGTTTATACCATACAAATTATCGATTAGCTTGTTTAAGTGTAGCATCGACCTATTGTGTTTTTTCTCTGTTTGGCCCAATGGTTGACTGGTAGAGAATGCCTTATGGCATTAAGTCCGCCATTTGTACTTCAGTGTTTTGTACAATAAAGTTTAAATAAATAAATAAATAATTTAGATACGTTATAAATAGTGTAGTAATAATATAGTA